GGAAATTGGGCCTGCTGGTCATGCTCAATGAAAAGTCAGAAAAGACCTCTCAGGATTAATCCTCTTAGGACCTTGCAAGTCTTGACTAACTTCAGCGACCTCCACTCAGGTATTTATCAGGCGATAGTAATGAAGTATTTGAAAATGAGTTTGTACCAAATAAACCTGACAAAACCTTTTTGCTCTTTGAAACAGACATGATTTAAAATGCTTCTGAAGGGTGAAATGAGGGTTTATTTAGGTCATTTAAGTTACTCCATATGCCTTTCTCCTGAGGAATAGTTTCGCCTGCCAAACACAGGTGTCTCATAAATCTGTAAAAGCTGAATTAAACTGACCTTAGTCACCACTGTGCTGTTTTTATAATGGTTTACATGCACCCACACAAACAAAAAGAAGCCATAATAATGCTGCGTTCCAGTTGTACTTGGAAGTCGAAATTTCTGAGCTTAGAGTCGGAAATTCATCTGGAACACCCCCTGAAGTCGGCCGAGTAACAGTGAAAGCTCTCATAATGTGTTATTTATTAGCCCTTCGGTTTTGTTTTTGTAAAATCAAATAAGTGGGATATGTTGTACTGCTGAAAATCGAACTGTGAACACAGTGCTATGGTGTTTGTAAGAGTAAAATACTGTGTTATGTGTTGTTTACAACTGGTGAAGCTAACATCAACTAACATCAGCTGGCACGACAACGGCTAACAACTGACAATGGCTAACAACAGCTAATGGTACGCGTCCATCTTAGTTTTCTGACTTGTTAACTGGAATGCCGTCAACACGGGTGTGACATCATTCCCAGCTCTGACTTCTGAGGTAACTGGAATGCAGCATTAGGATTATTAGACGGCATTATTAGAATTATTACCCAGCAAATACTTGATTCTGATTGGACAAAACCTTGCAACTACAATTCAGCTCGTGTCGTATAAAGTTTTTGATTTCACCTTTTCTGATATCATTCATGCGCAACAAAATTACTGAGTGATCTGTGAGCAGAAGGGAAAAGAAGACGAGGAGGAAATCACTGAAGAAAACAGACATGAAGAAACCACAAACTTGCTGTAGATTTTCATGCTTTGGTTTCGTGTTGTCTTGGCTACAGCTGCTTAGCTGCAACAATCCAACTATTTTAACCCTATTTTTACTCTGTGTACAGTGTAGCTAAATGCGTTAGGAGGAGGCGAACATGACGCACGTTCATAGCTGTAAACAATGTCACTTTTACAGTATTGTACTGTTTGTTTACGGAAAGTCTCGTCCTTTTATTATCTGATGAGGTTTTGTTTACCACCTGGCCTTCTAACAACACAATTGCAAACACAAGTGCATGCACAGAACACTGAGGCATTATCCAGGTGTGTTAGTGCGACTGTGAGACGTGTTACATGTTTTAAAAGTCTGACAAAGGCAGTAAATTGATTCTTTTGAACTTCATGTAAACACACTGACTTTATGGTCCCTGTCTTTGTCTCCAGCTCGCTCTACAGTATCCCTGACTCTCTCTCTCTTTCTTCTCAGGCGAGTGAAACTCGACCATTTGTATTCTGATCTCTCAAGCTCTGGGAGAATCTACACTGTCCTTTTTTCTCACCAGGAAACACCCACCATACATACAGTACATGTTTGTTTATTTCTGCACTTTGCTGCTGCTGTGGTATGTTGCCTGTACAAGTGAAAAATGTGACGCTGACAGCCGCTGTTTGTAATAACGGACCAGGGTGTGTGTGTGTGTGTGCGCGTGTGTGCATGTGTGTGACAGTGCTTAATAAGATAAAAGCATTTTAAATCTGAATGAATTCAAAATTAATATTCAGGCGAACGTAAGATTGGAAATGCAGACGGTAACTCCTCTCTGAACCGCTGTCACTTTAAGTGAAAACTAATCGCAGATAAAAAGCACCGGTATCAAGATGTGATGGATGTGACTGCTGGTGTTATCGGATTTGATGCTGCTGATGTGGCCCATTATTGGTTTACACACATGCATTTGTTCCCCTAATTGGAATATTGAGATAGTGGGAGTCCGGCGTGATTAATTATTTTCTAAAAAAGGACCCGCGACACCAGGGAGTCTGCATCGTTCAAATAGACTTTTAACCAAAGAGCCACTTTGAAGCAGAAGAATCATCGAACATGTGCTGCTGTGAGGAATCAAATATTAAGAAATGCATTAAAACTGTACAGCAATCTATTTTAACGGGATTTGTATAATTTCACAGCGCATTTGCAAAAGCAGAATAAGTGAAAAACTGTTTTAATTTGAGTGTTTTCGCCGAATAACACTGTTTTATACTTTGTATCTTTAAATCTTCAGAAAACAGAGATTCACTTATACATAAAGTGAGAAGTTAGAGCATTGTAAGGTCCACAATTATGAAAAATCCACCTTTTTGTGGTTTTCTACCAATAGTATGCATCTCCTCGAAGCTGACAATCCCCCTGACATGAAAAGTTTTCATCTTCTCCCTCTCTTGCTCTCCCCTCCTTTCTGAAACATGAGCACAAATGGGCAAATGGAAAAGCTGTGCGGTTATGACAACATAACTGCATAAGCCCCTCCTACATGTTGATGGCAGCGCCCCCGACAATCGTTAGCCCAGCCCTCTAAAACTTTTTCGCTGAGGTAGTGTCCGCCATTTTTTTCCCCTTGCATACACCACTCCGGTACGGTAACCATGTCGAAGCAACTCTTGGCTGCACAAACAAAGACAGGAGTCTATTTCTGCCTCCTTCGTTGGAAGATTTCAGGACCCAGTGGATTCATTTTATTTTTGTTGGAACAACTCCGAAAATGTTGTCTATGTTTGCTAACCATTTCACCATGGACTGTTTTATCAACGAGGGGCAGTTCGAAGCAAGATTCGCGAAGAAGCTGAGGATAAAACCTGGATCTACTCAGCACCCTCGCTGTCAACGTTGGGTGTTAAATAAGGGACCGTCAATAAATAACCTTTTGATATTCTTAAAAAAAGACTGTTTTCCTTTAATAGCTTCGATGTCATGTGACCAAGTGACCTAATTTGACCAATTTTATTGTGCACCATAAGTTCTTTGTTTGCTCCTTACTTTTTCAATTTCCGAGCACATGTGATGACCAATAATAAGCTACACACCGGGAAAACAACAGGGAAATGTGAGACATTATAATTCTATATGCATTATCATGGTTTTTTTCCTATTTATTGTCTGTAGTGATCATCCACTGTTGGTGTTTTGACTGTATACTATATATGTGTCTGTTTTTTATCTCCCCTTGTCAGTGAACTGTGTTTCTTTTTTCTTTTATGATAAATAAATGATTGTTTTTGGCCCGGTCTGGAGTTGTAAAAGTTGCCGACCTCCTGTTTGAGCGCTGCTTTATTGATGTCGAAACATCTGCCATACAGTCTGGGTGATTTGCACAGCCTTGAAATATCGCTCTTGTTTTGACAACTTTATTTTGGCGGGACTCCAGATGAAAGTCTCAGTTCCTCCCACTGTAGCCGGGGCAAAAATAATTACGAGTGTCCGTGAACATAAGGTGAATCCGGTGATAGCTGTCCCTTTCGCAGACGTTGTTAATCATGAAATGCTCTTCTGATGAGTGCATGTGTGGAAACTCTATCGCAGTCCAATAGAGGTGTGATGGTTCCCAAGGAGTGGCAGATTTATCCTCCCCTGCCAACATAACTGAGGCCCTATTTTCTTGTTCAGTGAAGTGGAAGTGGGTGGTTCAGCGCTGTTTGCCAATGTAATACCAAGCAGATCTTATACAAACTCAATTAGAGCACTGTTTGGTTCTGTTGTGCATAAAACTGATTGACAATCGGAAAGAGGCATTAGCGGAGATGCATTGTGCAATTCTCTGAACGATTGCTTTCTTTAGAGGAGAAAGGAGAGGTGAGCCCGCTGAGAAGTTGAAGACTTATCCTCAGAGCTGCAGGTTATTATGCTGAAAAATAATCTGCAAACCCTCCCCGTGGGTATTAGATTTACAGGGCCAATCCGAATGTTCAACTTTTGCCGAATCATTTCGTCTCAAAAACAGGAAGGAAAACACATGAATATGGAGAGAACTCCTGTCCCTGAATACACCGCGTTCATAAACACACATGAACGAGACAATCCTCACACGTCTCTGCCTGTTTCCAGCTCTCTCCTCGCTGCACAATTTGCATTGCGTGAAGCAGGAAGCCCCCTGCAGTCTGTCTCTTTGATGTCGGTCAGCAGTTGGAAGCGGCCCACTGATACGTATATTGATCGCTGTGAACCACAAGCAAGCCTCCCGCTGTTCACTCTTTCTTTCTCTTTCTTTCTCCCCTGAACCTAATCTCGATATTGATACAGCAGATAAAAACAGTCTGGGTTACAAAAAGCAAAGACATGCTTTTAGCAGCAGCAGAATGAAAAGCCATTTCAGTTTTTGGTGGATATTTTTTTTGTGAAGCTTCTGGCAGCGCTTTGTTCCCCCGAATCAAAACGGATTAAAGATTGAGCAATTTTTTCGTTTTTTTTGTATTTTTATAACATCAGTTTACGCTCGACACGTGTTTGATGTTTCCTTCTATCGAGTTCGATTCACATAAATAAGTTCTTAAGCCTTGTCAGCACCTAAACTTCTCCTCCCTGAACAACCTTGGACTTCATTAACATTGTGAACCACGGGTATACTTCCTCCCTGCTTCACTGACTCCCTCCTCTCCTCGCAGCGGCTCAGACTTTCTTATTTTTGTCCCTTCTGAGTTTCCGTGCGATGACTCTCCTCTGAGAGCAGGACAACAGGTGTAGTTATAGAGCGGTTCTGCTCGGTTGATTATGTATGCGGCGTAATAGCGCGCGCTGCAGGAGTGAAGCTTGTCACTCTTTATTGACACGTCAGTTACACAGTCTGCACCCAAACGTGTGAGTATGTACTTCTTTTAATTAACTCTCAGAGAGGTGGTATCATGAGAATTTTAACTCCCGTCTCTATTCCTGAAAAAGTGACACCTCCCCCTCATGTGCTCTGATCACGTTCAGAAGAACAGGTCCTACAAAGACGACAAAAAAGACAGCCGATCATATCAGTCTGCCGAGATCAGTCATCCAGAGAAGCTCGAGTGTTTCTGCTCAATTTCGCTCCCAAATGAAGAAGGTGGCCGTGCCATTTCCGCCTACGATTTTTAGATCCCCTGGTAATGTGAAACTTATCTCAAGTCAAATATTTGCCCGTAGATGCTGTCAAGGAGAGTAAAGAGGCAGGAGATGATGAGAGACAGCTCTCTGCAGGCCACTCTGTTTGCTCGATACTCCTGGGAAGTCCTGATACACACAAGTCAATAAAAGAGGAAGATCCAAAGCAGATGTCTGCACGCTGGAGAGGGACGGCCCGGACAAATTCCTGCTGACAATCAGTCCTTCACAATATTTGTTTTACAGCTCTCTGCTATCAAAATACACCGGTTCACCTTCATGATGTGGAGGGTATTTTTCCTCGCATGAGCGTAAACCAAGAGGGTGTTTGGGTTTGAAGAAACAAAGATCTCTCTGGAAATGTTTATGTTCTTAAAATACTGTCTGAGTTTGGTGTCAGAGTTCGACAGAGTTCCACTAGAGACAGTTTACGACATCTTCAGTCCAGCGAATATCTAGATCTCGTGTCAAACTGCATTTGCAAAGTTTTGATTGGCCGGTCTTGTGCCTCAAACAGCCACAAATAGTTGTGCCACAATACAAATTTGATTAATTGATTTCAAATCGTAATTGGATTATTTGATTATGACGATGTTAAAAAAAGTAAAATAATCTAATCGATTTTCCTCTCTATCATGTCTTGCACCTCCAGGCCACCGTAGGCTCCCCCTTCCTTAGTTCCCACACACACTAGTGTAAACACTGGTAAAACTATTTTGTGGCTAAATAGGACAAGAGCGAGTCAGTCGTGTTGAATTGGTACGACTTCACAGTTTCAGATGAAGATCAAACCACTCCCCACTGCAAAGTCTGTCTGAAGGCGGTATCAACCCGTCACCACGGAAATGAAAACAGGTCAGAGAGCGCATAAATCCGTAAATGACAACTATTTCATCTCCGTGTGGATGTCTATCTGCATCTCTGGAAACGATCATGTGACACACAGTGCAACTCTTTTAAGGCGCCTGCGCGTGTCCGACCAAAACAACCTTAAAACTAGGACCCAATTTTAGCCCATTTGAGACTAATTGGTAACCGGCCAAAACTCACAGATTTTCACTGATATTTTCAGAAATAAAATGCGGAGAATAGGATTCGGTTTCACTTCGAAAATGTTCTGCCATTTGAAAAGTTCCCCGACTTACCCTGTAGATGGCGCAGCGACCTCATGACAATCTTCATCCACTAACTACCTCACAGCACAGCAGAGTGATGGATCTGAAGCAGGCAGCTCAGGGACGCACAGAGGAGAGTGGTCCGCCTTAACGGTAAATACTTACTGGCTTAGCATATGCACTACATCATTTTTAGTGGTTTCGTTTTGAGAGATGATAGAAAAACGTTTTATGAAGTGAAGTTTGGTAGTTTCGATTTTGAGTATTTGGTTAAAAAATCAAAAATCATTTTTTATTTTTGGCCAAAATCGTGCAGCCCTACCTGGTTGCCATGGGATCCCTGCGTCAAAGCCGTATTTTGAACCAGGTTGTAAATAGAGTTTATTTTTGCTTTTTGGCTCAGTGTGTACGTAAGTTTGCCATGTTCTTCTTTGGTATTTTGACGTGACATTTCGATCACACATTATTGCCGTGGACTGACCTGATGTTAGCATTTTCGACTGTTTTTACAAGGTAGCATGAACAGGAAAGTATTCAAAAACAGTCCTGGTGTAGACAAGAGGAGACATCCACATTTATCTCAGTTTTGAGGCGTTACTATCACACCTATTCTGGCTCCTAACAACACAACAAGGCAGCATTTTAGGACTCATTTGTTGCCTGCTATCCTGTGGCGGTGATTTGTGTTTCCCTCACACCATTGTAATGTCGGGCCTAAAAGGGTCTATTGTTGGATTCAGATAGTTTTCCAAGATAAAACCGGGGTGATAGAATAAATCCATCTTTAGTAATTTCGCTCACATTGTGCCGTCTCTGTAGAATGAAGGATCCGGTGAATGTTCTTGAACGGCTTTATGTGAAAACATCAAAACATCCGAGTAACCAAGACATTACACTTCCTGTCTGATGACCATTAAAGAGCCGTTTACCTTCCTGTTGATTTTAAATGAAAGAAAATCTTCATTATAGCTTCACACAAAAACAGTCATTCTCATTCAGGGGTTGTCCGCCCGCATAAATATGTATATTATGTTGTTTGAATAATGCGGGTAACAAAAGGTCCTGCAGACAGTGTATTCATTGAACAATGTGCTATTGTAAAGAGACGGAGTGAATGAGGATGGGATTAATACTCAAGTCTCAGCTCAGGAGACACAACAGCTCTAAAATGAGCTACAAAGCAATTGATAAATCATTCATGCAGTCAGACCGATGCATTTAGTGTTAGAGCACTCAGTGCAGTAAGACCCCCCTGAGAGGAACTTCATTTGTTTAGTTCGCTTCTGCCGGAAAGCTATGATATTGTGCAGGAAGAGCTATTAGGGGAGTGGGATGGTGGCTAACAGCTGCCCAGAGGTGAAGTTCAGGGATATCTCTGTGTTCGCAGCGCCGGGTGTTCCTCCATCATCTTTAAAATAAGACAGGAAGAGACGTGTATGGGAGTATCCACCTTAAAAGAGAGGAGGAAAGAGGAGATATTGATTTATGGCCTCCTGCAGATTTCCTCGCTCATTCATCATGCTGTCCCAGCGCACGCCGCCTTCACTCCCCGGCAGGGTGCTCTTCTTCTTCCCCGAACAGCCCCCTACCCTTCCTTGTATCTGGGAAACAAGCTGCGTGCTCCGCTCTGCTCAGACCCCCAGAAAACCCCCTCCCTCCAACCTCCTTCACCCCCACTTTACTGTCACACTCCCCCACACAGACACGCAGCGTGACAGGATTACTCACAACACGCGATGCTCCCAAATATGGAAGAGCCAGATATGTGAGGACGAGTTCCTCCTGCCATAGTCCATCAGCTTTTTCATTTCCACTGCTTTGTTTGTCAGATCATTTATTTTACTTCATGTTTTTCTTTTTGGTCGGTATAATTAGAGGGCTGTTTTCAGAAAGTTTCTCGTTATTCCACCTGAAATGCAGCTCTGAGGGGATTAAACATGCAGGAGGAACATATATATATATTTATATACATCTGGCCTTTACAGAGCAGCCTTGACTCTCGAGTACAAGAAGTAACAAGCCGTAGAAACAAGTGTCAGCTCCTTCATTATTCAACAAAACAAAGTGACAACTGCACCTGTGTGATACTGGATCATCTCATCACGCTGAAGCGGTCTGATGCTAATTAGCGCCGTTCCTTCGCTGCGGGAGGTCTAAATAATTTAATTGCTGAACTTCATCGCCTCATCTTGAGTGCTATTTCTCTAAAAGCATTTATTATTTCCTCAAATTTTAATGACCCGCTCCTGAAAGTCATACACTTTTATTGCATTATTACTCAAAAAAAAAAAAAACATTTGGATTTTTTTTTTTATTAATGCATTCAAACAGAAAAGGTCTGCTGTTTATGAATATTCAAATCAGGCTTTGCCCTTTTAATAAGAGAAAAGAAACGGCACAGCCTTTAGTGATACGCTGTCACGAGGAAGAAAAAGAAGGAAATATCTTGAGGAACTCTGGGCTACATGCTATTTTTCGACTTCTCTTCCTTGTCAAGTCTCTGTTTTGCATCGAGAAGAGACAACAGGATGGCGTGAGGCGAAGTTATTGTTTTTTTTTTCTCCGGGGTCACTGATGAAAACAGGAGCGTCGTGTCAGTTTGACGTCGTCGTCTGAATAAGATCGTACTCTTCCATCACAGCAACGCCAGCGGCCAGGGTCACCCGCCCTTCACCCAGACAAAGGTTCCAGGAAGCCGGGCCGCCGCCTCCTCCCTCACCAGCATTTCCACTGCCTCTCATCTTCCATGAATATTATCCCGCAGCACAGCAACAGCACATTCTCATTCCATTCCTTTTCCCTTCCTTCAAGGCCCTCACAAAGTCAACCCCAATTTATTCGCCAGGGATGGACTCATCATCATCGCCGCCGCCGTCGCTCCGGCCTGCCTCTCTCTGCATGGGGATAACAGAGCCCTGCTGCTCATTCGCATGCAGCCGCTCCTGCTGGATTTCATATATCAAGACTGAGAGTCACAATGAACCCCGGTCAGCCAGAGTAAATTCCAAACAGCAGCCGCATTCAGATGAATGGGCAATTAATAATTTAAATGATACCCGAGTGCTAAATGCATGCAAGTGTGTGAAATCTCCCATCCCATCTGTATCAGTCTGCACACCCAGTCACCTAATAATTGTTCCCTGGGGACGCATTTCAAGTGAGGCTTCCAGCAAATTAGAAAAAAGCTATGACTCCTATCTAAGACTGCAGAGAGTTTGGCTTTTTTTTCTAAATGATATTTTCTTTTCAGCGAGCATCGCAGATAAATTCCACTCATGCTCGCCGTCGAGGACCTTAGAGGGAGAAATTTCAATAATAAACCTGAAATATCAACATGAATTTACAGACGATTTTTACCAATCGATCCTGCAAATGGTTGTTTTTGTAGGAAACTCCAAATGAGTCAGAACTGATGAATCTCTTATTTCAATCTGCGATTTGCAGCTGCGGCAGACTTCCCTCAGAGAACGTGACGACGCTCTCAATAATAGTTGGTAAAGAAAGTCAGGTGAGACAGAGACGGAGACGAAACCTTTGACATCCATAAATCAGCCACAAGTTTGAGCATTTTTCATCCGCTAAACAGCAGAGACGTCCAGATCTCAATCTAAACTATCGGATCAGAACTGATCTCTACTTTTTTTCATCGTCTCAGGACTATGTGGCACTTGTAACTTGATCAGACATCTAAAAACTCAACTGAAGTTCATTAAAGGACCAACAAATCTGGATTTTAGGGAAGGATAGATATCCTGGAGGCCAAAGAGGATTAAAGAAAATGTGGTTAGATTCACCAAATGCTGCTCTCTGCCGTTTTTTCTGGATCTTCAGGATGTCCCGCCGTCTTGACCTCACATGTCAGACATCACAGCTGCACGGCAAAGTTGGAGACAACAAAGAAGGTGATTTAAGACTCGATGGGACTGCTGTTAGACCTCTGAAGCTCTGACATTCGCCCCGTGTCGTTGCAGTGCCTCACTGCACCCTGAACTGATTTATCTTCTCACCGGTCTCAGGTGATCCGGTGTTGGTTGGTATTG